TACTGGGCGCGATCAAGGAAATCTCTGCTAACACTTGCACACTACAATAACAGCAACTCATTTAGAAAAGCGCCACCGGAGTAAAGTTTTGTAACTCCACAGCGTTCGGTGTCATCCAGTCCATTTAACACCAACGAGTACAAGGCTAAGTAGAGGAGCAAAAACATTGTTTTAGAAAATTGCAACTGATACTGTGGAAAATGTTGGCAGTTAAGGTTGTTTAGTTGATATCCGAACTGTCGGCTAAACCAGACTTGGGTTACATTACCAACGCACTAATGTTTTCTCCTCGGTTGTTAATGGAGCTCTGCGACGGAATTGCTCAGCTCGGCGAACAGTTCGATTACCCAACAGTAACGGGATCACGAACCAGTTCTATTACAGATGTCAACTGGCTGGTCTACTGAATTACCTGCTCATGGTGCAAGTTGGGTGGTCCGGGGTTACCCCCATCCCGCAAAGTTTCCTGCGGCAGTGTACCAGGATGTGGTGGGTTTTCGCTTGACAAACGTTCTCCCTATAAAAACCACAAATGTCTGTTTAACAACACCGAGATATTGCGGATGTGACTCGTCACTAAACAAGGTCACTACCCCTAGCTTCGTCCCAGTGGGCATTATACTCCAGCAAATGTGTTGATATCTTGGGAAGGATTGGGCCCTGTTTGTTAACCGACCTAGCAAAAGACGCATGAACTGAATATGCACTCACCGACTCTCAATAGGCGCGATTACCTAAATTTAGCCCGCTATACTACGGTCAGGCAATTTAGCCAAGTGCTCGGTGTGGTGTTCCCTAATACAACTCCCTTCTTCGACTTGGGTAACTGGGTAGTATCACGCCCACTGCCAAAAATCTTGGATAGTGCAGCTGCTATATCGCTCTCAGCTGCTTTTGTTCTTGCTACGCTCACATGTTCTTCACACTTCCTGTTCGTTTGTTACAATTCACTGTTATCCGTTACCCGCTGATTCCTGTTTCCACGATTCTACTCCGGACGGTTTCATTGACACCCAGAGAGGTCGCCCAGTGGCTCTCCTTCGGCTTCGGTCCTCGTTCCGTTTGGTAAGTTTCAATGTACATACACTCATGCAGCTCGGGCAGCAGGTTGGTCTTGCGCGCAACTTGGAATCCCTCATCAGAAATCCGTGAGAATATTTGTAGTTCGGGATGCGGATGAGGGTATGCGGGTGTTCTCCGAGCTGGCTGATTTGGCTGCAAACGTTTCATCGTCAAACTAGACGACATTATCATTGCGATTTATGCGGGCCACTTACAGGTCCAAGTGATTATTGATCGCTTGATTCGAACGTCAGGAGTCGATTGGTCCACGTGAACTGACCGTGTAGTCAGATCTCTCGTACTGTTGGCTAGAGTCCTTCGTTCCTTCGTTCAGTTGATCTGGGGCGAACTATTCTTTTGACCCTCAGTGTCTCATAGGCAGTCTAGATCTAAGTGCCATTTGATTGAGTTCTCTCCCGAGTACCAAGCCTCGATGAACTCTCGTGCTTTTCGACTTTTTGCTCTGCCTATGATCCTAGCATTCTCCAAATCAAATTGATGTTTCTCGGCGTCCATATGTACCGACATCAGGGAGTTCTGGTCATGTCGGCGGATGGCTGGGCTATGCTCATGTAGCCTAGTGCCGAGCTTTCTTCCTGTCTGGCGCACATAGTATTTGTTACAATTTTTGCAGTGGCTTTTGAAAATCACACCACTTGTTTCTTCTATGCCAAGCCGGTCCTTGCCATTGAAGAGGTTGTCTCTGATGGTTTCTGTCGGCTTGTAAGCAACCCTGATTTCGAAAGGTCGTAGCAGTCTCGCCGCCATCTCATCAATGACTTTTGCTGTCTTTCCAAAACACCCTTACAAGATCCCAGTACGGTGATTGAATCGAGATCTCCTACCAACCAGGGATTCACATTGCACCCACGTCTATCTGGTGACAGAAGCAGCTGCGGCAGGTTTTTCTGGCGTTGGTGTAGAGCTTAGTAGCAAAGCCGAGGCCGCACTACTGGACTTGTTCCAGATTGACAGCCGACTGTGCGCAGTTCGGCTTCGTGGATCATACATGATTAACAAACATCGCGATCAGAGACGCAACTTGTTTGTGATCTTAGCTTACGCTCCAACTGACTGTAGTTCCGATTCAGTTAAGGACGATTTCTACCGTGAATGTCACCAACTCTTGTGCACAGCCTGTAAATCCGATATTGTCTTCCTTGCTGGGCATCACAGTGCGCGGGTCGTTCGCCTATTATGTTGCGAAAGTCAATCCGGTCGTCACCATGCGCTCCATGAGAGCCGCTCAGATAATAGAGAGAAACTTCTCATACTATGCAAAGATAATCCTCTGTTTCACTCGAGTACCAGCTTTCGGCATTCGAGGAGACGTTCCCTACTTGGCGGCCCCCTGCTGCGTCTCAACCATAATCTCAGATTGATCCTCTCGTAATCAGTTTCAGACGGCGGAGGTTGTAAAGGACTGTAGTTCTACCTGATCCACTTTTCTTGACTCAGAACATGTTCTTGTCTTTGCGACCATCTGCATGAGTTTCAGAGGGTCCCTGAAAACGAAGCACTGTTAGGTAGATACAAATAAACTATCTACTCTCTCGGTTCAGCAGAGCTATCAAGTTTCCCTGGTCTGTGCAAGACATTGACGAACACTGGATGTTTCTACAAAGAATCATGACCTCTTTCGGGCAGTTAATCTGTGGACTCACTCATCACCCTATGAAGACTTGGATCTCCATTCCTTCCCTTGATCGATTTGGCCGCCTCAGAAATATCGCTGCGGAGTCTACTCATAATAAAGTGTACTGTTCTGTCTGTCTCCGCTCAAATAAAGCCTATGCAGTGTTAGTGAAGCCTGGTGGTCGCAGTGTGCTTCGGAAATGGAGGCACCCGTTCCCTCAGACAATAGCCACAAGCTCTTCTTGCTCCTTTGGTACACAGGCCAAAGAAAGTCTGGTGTCAGTGAGCCTATTCGCGAAACGGATGGCTCGCCGATTCCCAACGTACAGAGACGTTTGGATCAATGGGTCGAACATTTTTATTCCCAGTTCAGTTGGCCCTTACCGTTTACTTGTATGCCCTACGAAGCCATCTGCCCGTCTTGGGTGGCGACTCTTGATTCACCAGCGAAGCGTAATTTTTCTTGTGATTCGACACCTTGAGTTACTGAAAGCTGCTGGCTCAGACGGAGTTCCATCGGAGCTGTTCAGTTGTAAAGGCACAGTTAACAGTAGCCAGGTGCCTTCTTCCTGGGGTGAATCAGCTTTTGTCCCGATTTTTAAGAAGGGTGCTCGCAATTGGTGCACCAATCGCCCGGGGATTAGTTTCATTTCGGTTGTCTCCAACCTATTGGCATCCATTCTACTCCGTAGGATATCCAGCATTCGCCAATCGCAGCACCGGGAAGAACAAGCTGACTTCCGTACTGGCCGCGGGGATGTGGATCAGATTTTCATGCTCCATCAAACCTTGGAACACCACCACCTTTACTAGGGGACTACCATTGTTGCAGTCCTGCACATCCACACCACATTAGACTCGGTTGATGGACCAGCACCGTGGTGTTGTGTGCCCTTGTACATTGTCCCAGAAAAGTACGCGGCCATCCTACGCGCTCTCTACCTCGACCTCTCCGGCAGACTGAGGGTCTACGGCAAACTTTCGTCATCTTTCACTGTCAATAACGGTGTGCGACAGGGCTGCTCTATGTTTCCCTTCCTTTTCATTTTGTGATTGAAGACTTCTTGTCGTGAACTCTAGACGAGTACCAAAATCCTGGTCTTCAGTTACTACCGGACAAGCGAGGGACTGACTTAGATTGTGCCGATGATATCACCTTACTTGGTGAAAACTCATAGAGCATACGAACTATTCTAGACCGCTTGGCAACTGAGGTATAAAGATACGGAATGTGCTTTACCACGTCAAAGTGTAAGGTGTTTTCTCAGGAGTGGCACATGCCTGTTTCCTTGCTGACTATTGAAGGTACACAGCTTGAACAAGTGGATAGTTTGGTTTACCTAGGTTGCAGTGTGTCTGCTGGTTGTACCATTGGAAAGACATTTTCTCTTCACACCACCAAAACTCGGTCTGCGTTTGTCAACTTGAAACACTTGTGGCTCCGTCGACATGTCTTCCGTTTGTTTAACGGTCTTGTTTACAATGCCACTTTGGGCTGCATGGTTATATGGAAGCAAGTCATGGCCATTTCGCTAAACGACATGCGACGGCTGTCGGTATTCAACAATGGGTGCTCAGGGATATATGCTCATGCGTAGTGGAAACAAGTTAGCTACAACAGTGAAGTCGGACTTCATGTCTTAGGGAATGCGAGTATTCACTTGAACAAGTTGATTTTGCTGCTCCAGTTAAAATGGCTCGGTCACGTGCTACGCATCTCAGCTGAGCATCTGCCCTACTGCGCGCTTTCCGTTCGCGCAGGACTTGGCGGTAAGAGACCAAGTGGCGGTCAGCCGTCCATCTGATGGCAGCATATGAAATCATTGACTTCACCTCTCGCTATCAGTGGATCCACATGTCTACCTGTTTTGAGACCAAAGAACAAAGTGTGTCCATGGCTTAAAACAATCCGGGATATGGCGCGCAATCGAAACCATTGGAAAATATGTCTAGCTACTTGTTTACATACAGATGCTCAAAGGTTAACCGTGGAAAAAGACAAAAAAGAGAAAAATGGCTTTTCCAAAATAACAAAAATGTTCCATTTTTTTCTCTTATTGCGGCACAATAGTTGAAGTGAATTGCGCACTTCCAGCTAATATGCCATGATGAAGGTGAGCTGATTACACCTCTTCTTCTAGTGATTTCCATGGTTTTGTTTAGCTCTATGTCTATTCAATAGACTACTGCTAATATTACTACCCACTAATTTCCGTTCTTTCTCTCGTAGGCCTGACGAAACTGTTGACACATGTCCCCATAACGCAGTCAGCAGTCTGAAACGAGATTTCATACGTACCGTAATGTCAACCAAGCGAGTCGCTGCCCACTTGACAGAAGAGACTCTTGTGGAGTATCGCCAAGCGTTCGATGCGCTTGACATGAACAACACAGGCAAAATCAGTACTCTTGATGTGGCAATGTTAATGCGAAAGTTGGGCTTGATGCCTTCAAATCTGGAGGTCGAGGTATATTTCCATTTGGTGCCTGTTTTGATTTTGTTCCTCTATACTCGTGAGTCATCCTGTCGAACTAGGCATTAAAAATCGTCTACGCGAAAGCTGACAGTGTGCTCTTGCAAGTTATCCAGTAATTCCTGGTTGTCCTTCACAAAAACCGCCGCCTCACCATGTGTTTGGATGCCACACACATGCTAAGACCGCGTCGACCCTAAGCTGTATTTTAAAGTCTGTGGTGCACTGCGTCAGCAAGTAATTAACGGGTTGTACACACCCGCTATACCATACTCGCTGGCGAAAATACATTCCTCTACATAAGGAGTTACTTGCATATGTGCCTCAACTTTTGTCCAAACAATTAGCTATATGTCTCCAAATCGACAAGTCTCTCAAGGCGTCCGATGGTATCAAAATGCAGCAGTTTAACACCTTTTACTCAAATCGGTGAGGCGACAGTACATGCTGCAAATGGGTGCTGCTCAAAGCGTCATCATGGATGCTATGATCATAGTGGATTAGACAAACGTTATTTGAACAGGTGTAGGTACCCAAACATGTGTTCATTAAGGTCAGATGCATTCGTAAAGCTAGACGGCAAACCAGATTAGAGTTGTGATCTCCACAGAAACACGATCAAACAAGATGTTTAAATTAAGTGAAGTAGGTGAACAGTCTGCGTGATCAATACACAGCATCACCTAACTGGCGTCCGCACATTCACTAGACTGACACGAATAACTCAACACCTTAGGATCTCGAATACAGAAGTGGTCGGATGTTCTGGGAATCACCATAACGTTTCAGATTGTTTTGTGTGACGAAAAGCTAGGCCCACAACACTACAAAACTGTCGATGTCCACGGTTTTCAGCAATTGTTTCAGTGAATGTATTTTACACGGTGCTTGTCAAATGCTCACAGCTTTGATATTAACTGTGAAAAAATTGTCGAAAATGCTGTCAATAAAGCATAACTAGCCTCTCATAAAAGCACACATTTACGAGGTACAACGGAAGGGGCTCAGTGGCAAAGTATTTTAGACATGCGACTGTTGTTGCAAGCAAGCAACAAAAATAAAGTAGGATGTGTATCCGTACTCAATCAAGGGGTAACAGACTTAACACACAGAATAATCACTTTTAACCGTCCGGATTTTACACAGCCAATGCGAAGTGAATTGCTATGTTTCAAACTGCTATTGAAACATGAGTAGGAGAACTTCGTGATGAATCGACCAAGACAACCACCACTTTTTTGAGGAGCGGCGCCACACGAGATGTGATCGCTTGACAGGCTACGAAGGTCTGATAGACCGGCGAGGATGGGTTCGTGGTATCGAGGATTCGACCAGGTTTCATACGTTGTTTGATAATCAGTAGCTGGTCCATGGACCGTGTGTAACTGACTTAGTTAGCATTTAGGCAGTTTTCCAATGGGTAGATGCATGGATCTAGTCTCTGGATGAGTTACAACTGTGCGGATAGAGCTTGGAGGTCTTTAGGCGTAACCCGTTTTTTAACGCGAACGTACGCTCTAAGCTCCATAGAATTTGACGAGCTTGCGTAAAAATTTTGGTAGTGTGCTATGCGAATTAAAACTTCTGCACGTTCTCAGTTGACAGGTTAAATACAGCATTTCGTTTGGTGCTTCATGGCCTTCCTAACATCAGCTCCGCCGGCTTTTTTCCTGTAGCCCTGTGATCACAAAAAGATACAGCGGTTCAGACAGAATCTTCTCAATCTGACCCTTCTAATTGGGTGACATGTATGGCTTCCTGGAAGGCTCGGTTTAGCCTCTCGACCATGCCATGGAAGGTAGGATTTTAAGGTGCAGTTCTGGAATGTTTTGAGTTATGGCACCTGAGGAAAACTGCAAAGTCGTGGCTACAAAATTGTGGTCCATTATCAGTGACAATTTCTTCCGGTTGTCCGAAGCAAGTGAACAAGCGTTTAAGCCAGCGTATTAACCGATGTAGTCACATAGTCGCACACGTAGACTTCAGACAACTCACTGTAAAAGCACGTAACTACAAGTAGAGTTCTCATATTAGTAGAAGCGGTGGCAAAAGGACCCATAATATCAATGGTGATCATAACCCACGGCTTCATCGGGTAAGTAATAGGCTGCTTGGGTGTTTCCACGGACAGCGAACTTTCACTCACTAGGTGGCAAGCATTACAGCTCAGCACAAATGTTTGAAGAACAAAATTTTGTGAAGTGTGCTCTTTTCGACAAATCTCCTTAGGTATTTATACTTATAAACTCGAGGGTAGAACAGAAATAGATGTTGAAGTCAAAGAGGTGGGAATAGTAGCATCACAACTAACAGAAAGCCAAAAGTCTTGATCGATAAAGTAGACTAACAACATATGTGGCAGACCACGCGTTGGTTGATCGGTGGAAGACCAAGCGCATCATCCGATCATTGTAGGCGTACGAAGTGATAAAAGTTGGTAAGCTAACTAGGGCCAAGGTAGAAGAAGCCCTTGCAGCAAAGCCATCTGTTTGCATAATTCCGGTTGAATTATCCTAATCGCGATCGCTACGGCCGTCCGTAAGGTTTGCTTCTTAAGACATTTAGTATACCTTTGCTGTACTACATAAAGCATTAGGAAGGCATCAGCGGTCCTAATTTGGTGTCCGCTTTCCACCAGATTTTCCAGGATGGAACTGTTGGGGCGACTGACGATGCCTTTCCGCAAAGCCACCGGCCAATACTCCGTAATGCGTTCAGATAGACGCCTGATTGTTTTTCCCACGTATTTAGCACTACAGGCTGGGGTAAATTGAAATAAGACATAAGATTGGGACTGAACCGGAAATCTGTCTTTAACGCGTTGGACTATAAAGGGAACGGTTTTCGCATGGACGTGTGAGCATGCCGCCTGGACGGCTCGAGACATTGCACTGGCAATTCTTCTGGTCAACAGATCAAAGGCAACATCGCCTTTAAAGGGAACTGATAGAAACAGGTCCTTCTTAGGGACAGTAGTAATCACCCCACAGCTACCGCAGATCACTGCATACTACTTGATGACTGGTGTCGGATAACCATTATCTTGAAGCGTTTTGAGAATACGGATTTTTTCGACCTTTAGCGTCTCTTGGCTGCAAATTTTCGTAGCACGAAAATACCAACAGCGAACAAGATTACTTTGTACCACAAGGGTACAAAGCTTAAAAAGTTGTATATTGGCCTATCTATTGGGCCTTCCGGAATACACTCTTTTCAATGAACCGTCATTTCTTTGGCTAAATAAAGCCTCCAAGAAGGCTAGCTCACTATTCCTTTCGGTTTCAGTAGTGAACTTCAACGATGGATGAACACCGTTTAACTGGTGTTTGAATCGCAGATTATAAACTTATCATCTATATAATGACAATGGAAATCAAACGAATTGATGATGGCTCGTAGAGCTTCACGCTCAACCATAGCGAGGAGAATATCGACAAGTAGTGGACCTAGTGGGGATCCCATGGCTACACCGTCAATCTGTCTATAGTACACTCCGTTAAATAAGGATTGTCGGTCGAAAGCATATCGTAAAATTAATTCCTTCAGTTTCCTCACTGGAATAATCACATCTACGTGCTGTTCATTTACGTAAGCATATACAAAATTGACCGTTTCCATCAATGGAACATTTGTAAAAAGTGACTCAATGTTTCAATGCTAGATGCCAATCGTGGCCACCAAAAGTAGTGTTTCACTCGGTATTTGGTCCGAACGACACCCGGGTGTCCCTCATGTGAACAAGCATTTACTTTGTTTACCAACTGAGGTGGAGCTAAAAACACCGAAACACGCATTAGACAACCACCTATCAGTGACAGTTCATCTCAAACTGCGTAATTTGGAATGAGCTCACCGGAGACTCAGTTGTTCTTAGACCATTCCTGTTGCACATACTCGCTGAGTTGATGTAGTAACGGGTCGTTGGCATTTTCCGTCCGTAATTCATCAATAGTCAAAGTTGTTAGGTCGGAGCTAAGGCTGGATACCAAAACTGCCACTCTGAGTCTCTCCTCGTCATCCTCCGGCCTCACGGGTAAGCTAGATTTACTATCCGCAATTTGGTTTCGTAAACCTGGACGGTACACAAATCTAAAATCGTAGGTAAGTAGTCTAGCATACCAACAATCGATCCGCTTTGGATGTGATCTTATAGATCCATTAGTGAGGAGGATTGTAAGGGCGGAGTGGTCCTTTCGTAGAGTGAAACGATGACCGAATAGGAAAATAGGTTATTTTTCACAAGCCCACACACAAGCAAGAGCTTTTTCTCCAATTGAATAATGGTGCTCAGAATCTGAGAGTTTTCGGGATGCGTAAGCAGTAATTTTTGCCTTTCCGTTTTGTAGCTGTGACAAAATAACACGGACACCAAAGTCAAACCCAGCAGTCAAAACAAAAATGTGGTATGATACATCGAGAAAGGCAACTAGGGGAGCAGATGCAAACACTTTTTCTGGTTTCTTCCCCAAGTGAACGACTCACCTTTCTTTATTTGTTAGCCTAATGGGCCTGCTAGGGTCGCAAGATGTGCAAACAGCGCAGATGGTAGGAACATATTCCTAACAAAGACTTCATTTATGTTACGTTCTTGAGTGTTGGTGCATTTTGCATTCAGACGTAAATCAAGCCTAAAACATTAGGTCCCCTTCAGTCACTTGATCAAAGCAGAAAGAAGACATAGGTTTCGATATGTCAACATTTCGATTGTTCTCCTCAGTCGCATACACAATACAAGTAGAAACACATGTACAAATATATACATGTGAAAAAATTGGCACACTAATCAAAAGGTCGAAAGCAAGACCAAAGCAATCTAATTGATTGCCTCGAGAGTTACTGTGCACATAGCACAGGCTGACAGGCCCTAATTAGCAACGCTTCATTGGTTGGCAACCTTATCGGATTCCGGTTACACTCACAGTCTGTGTGT